TTTGATCGAATCAAATTAAATATAAATTTGAATTTGTATTTGATTTGATTTTCAAATCAAATATTCAAATATCAAATCGAATTGTGAAACCCTAACATGTATACAAAAAAACTATACTATACATACTATACATTCAAAACTATACTATATAGGTTTACTATATACCTAAGAGGTGAATAGAAGGCCTAAATCAGAAAAAGAACCATCTGTATAGAATTGGAGGTAAAACACATTAGTAAATAAATCTATTTTTATTTTCAAAATAGCCAAACTATTAAGATCAAAGGGTAAGTTATTAAGATTTTGACTAATTGAAGATTATAGATATTAGAAAAATTAATTTTGCTAAATGTAGTGTCTTTTAACATAAATAGTGAAAGGTTAGTATAATGACCCAAAGATTTGTTATAATTAACAGTAATTCAGCTACAAAAATTTTTTGAGATAATAAAATTAATAAAATAACAAAATTTATAAGATAGTTGTTTTACAAATAAGAAGTTGATATTATTATTATATAATTGACATCTAGTATAGGTTAATAGTATAGTTAGTAATCAGTATTTATATTTAGAAATAAAGTATTGAAATATAAAAGTATTGTTATTACTTCTAACTATTTTTTCAAAAAGGAAATTTTGATAGGTATTATATTAAATTAATATAAAAATTAGTTATTATTATGAATTGATATATTTATAATCTTCTTGTAAAATTTTTAAAATGTGATGAGAAAATAGTGAGGTTAAATTCCTGTAAAACAGATCTATGATTACTTTTAATAGATTTAAACCATTTAGGGTGAATTTCCGCTATTATTTTTTGATAAACATTAAGATTATTAAATATATATAAAATTGTCTATAACTCAAAACTAACTATTCTGCAAATATTAAGTATTTATTTCTTAAATTGTCTTTTATATTATGATAAGTCTTTATTAGAAGCAAATCTATAAGTTTTGTGAGATCACTGATAAAATTAATGTTAAATTGTTGATTTAGAAGATAATTTTGTGTAATTAGATATTAAATTGTTTAAGAAGTGATAGTGTAGCAGTCTACCAATCAGTTGTTAATAATGGAAATTCATATAATTACACATCAAAGGGATATGTAGGGAGATATTCTATTAATTGTAGTTGATTTGCTCAAATAAAAGCTGATTTTTTGGTAAGACTATTATTATTAATAAGTTTATGTAAAGTATTAGACTTTACGAGAAATTATTGATCAAAAATATTGTTCAGGTTATATTCAAGTGTAAAATGAATAATAGGATTTGAAGTAAATTTTGACAAATAACCGCTTTTTTAAAAGTTTTCTGAACAGATTATATTATATTATCATAAAATGAAGTTATAAAAAAATAAGTTAAATGCGATATAATAATTTAGGCATAATACTATTATTAAAAATCATCACAAATTGCTTGTTTGTGAGTCTCTTTTTTCATAAAATAGTATTGTTTTTGGCAACTTTATTTTTGATTTGGTTTTTTATAAACCCTATATTTGATTTTAAAGAGAACTATATACTAAGATATTGAATAATTTCATTGAGTAAAATAGAATTAAACCATAATTTGTCTGTTGTGAGATTAAATTTGACTTTTGCAGAATCAGAAATAGAAGTATGAAAAACTAATTTTTTCTATTAACTTAGATACTATTTAATTGATAGAAGAAGTTTGCAGAGTTGATTATGGATTCTAGATCTTTACAATGCTGAATCTTTTGATGAATTATTATTCTAGATAACTTATTGACTGTAGCTATATATTAATTGTTAAATATAGTAAAGAAGGAAACGTTATATATGTACTAAAATATTAGTAAAATAATTTTATCTTGGTCTATATCTAATAATATATTGTAATCATTAGTATTGCTTACATAATAAATACTTGATTTGATTAAGATAAAAAACAATTTGATACAAATATTAAGAATAATGATAGGAGTTTGATGTGAACTTATGCATATAAATTTTCACTTAGATTTTATACATTGATCTTAAGGTGAATATATATATTTTATAAAATTTAGGATGAATATCTTTTTGATGTGAAAAAGTATATTTGTATGAGACAGTTCTAATAGCTGTATTAACAATACATTTCTAAAGGTATTTTTATACAAAATTAAGTTTGGATTTTGAATCAAAGTTAATATGATTAGTATATACTAATGGTAATTTTTCTAAATATTTATCAGTTTTATTATTGAATCTGATCCATTATCCATATTATCATATAGAATGTTAATTTTTTATGACTGTAATGAGATTGAAAACTAGTGAAAAGATATATTGAGAAGGAATTAGATATGAACAATATTATGATCAGAATAGATTGTGTCTACGTGAATAACTGAATATTAATTGAAATTAGGAATAAGATCTGATAAAAGAAAAATATGATCTATAGTAAATAGTATTTTTTTTCTTTTAAATGTAAATAATCCATTCTTATCTATACTCAATAATAATAGCAAAAGAAATTAAGGTTATCTAATTTTGAAAAGAAATTATTAACGAATTTAATATCTAAAAAGAATAATTGACATATTTAGATTATTTGCTTTTATAATAAGTTGTGTAACTTCAGTAAAAATATTTTTTCATAAATGATCATTAGATGCAGTGGTGTAATTTGTAATCATTATTTGTTTTTAAATTAAAAGTCGATTAATTAGTAACATTCTTGTTTAGAAACATGTTTGTAGATATGATCAACATAAGACTTTTTAATAATTAAACCAATATCATAACTAACTCTTTATCCATCACTTTGTATACTAAATAATGAAATGTATGTTAAGGAGATTGTATATGCGAAATTTTAAAAGGCAGGAGATAAAAAATTTGTTTCTTAAAGAATAATGATATCGAAATGGTGTAATTGAAAAAAATAGAAAAAATATTGTTATTTGCTTTTGTTAGTAAACAACCTGACGTTTAAAGTTCTTATTTAAATGTTTATCATTAATAAAATTCTTAGATTGGTAGAATTATGTTTCCTTCTTTATTACAGAAAATTACACCTGATTCAATAAGCACTGAAATAGGTATTTTTTTTATTATGTTAATATTAAAGGATCAATAGATTAAAAACTGTAAATTTACGATAGTTTTGAGTGCAATGTTTAATTTTTCATTATCTTTGAGATTTGCTTTGAGTTCATTATTCTCACCTTGAACTAAGCATAAAAATATTTCTTAGTTGTTAAGAATAAATTCAAATACATCTACTATTCAATGCTATTGTCTATTTCTTCATTATCTGCAAGATTTGCTTTTCAGCTTCATTAAGCACTGCAGCTTTTTGGGTTGTAAGTGTGAAAAAGTTTAATACTTTTTTAATAGTTGTGACTAAGGTTGCTTGTCTAAACTCATTTTGGATTTGGCAAAACGGTAAAACCTTTAGTTTCGCTAAATTTTTACTAAGTGTTTAATATAGTTTCGCCATTTTTATAAGCTTTGATATAGTTTTACCTTTTTTCAAATTTCGCAGATTTTTTAATAAGGTTTTAGTATAATTTAATCAAGTTTTACTTTTACCATTTAGACGTCTGTCTAAACTCTTGATTTTGTCTAGCAACCTTATTTGTGACTCTATAGATAGTGTACTTAAGATCATTGTGCATTTCTGTTAAGTATACATTTATAGTGATTATTTGTATTAAAATTTGATCAAGTTTTTCAGGTTGATAGCTTTCATTTGACTTGTATAGTTTTTGAAATCAATTTTTGTGATACATATCTTCAGTTTGTTTTGCTCACGTTTCTTGTACATGGACTACTCCTATTCAAGGTATTGTTATTAGTATCTTTAACAACTCATGTTAGGGGTTTTTTTTAGAAGCTAGGATTTGTTTTGGATTGGAATTATTATTGTTGGAATGGTGAGAGCTTGTATTTTTATTAGGTTTATCAACTAGGCAATTTAATGCAACTAGGGTTGCACTATATATATAGTGCAACCTAGTCATTGGTCTTTTTCGGATAGCCGAAATTGATTAATTTGTAAGATATCATTTTTTTTTGTAAATACATATTGTAAGAATTAAAAAAAAATGATTTTTCTATTTAGAATATAAAAAAAAAGAAATAATTTATTATATAGAAGTTTATCAATATATTGGTAGATTTGAAAATCTGAACAAAAAATTAGAAATTAAAATGGATAAAAATATTTATAACTAATATAACAGTAACGATTATAATGCCCAATCTGATCTACAAAAGTATTTCCAAATTAAGGTTTCGGGTTTCGATTCACCTTATGATTATATAAAGATGGATTCGCCCGAAACATTATTATACAAGATCACAGAATTCGAAAATAAGTGTTAGAAATCTATGGTATGGCATAATTTGGATTAATATATCAGGTTGCCATCGAAGTAAAGTTTTTTCGAAATTTTGGTTTAACCTCATCTTGACAAGAAAAATATGTATGTCAGGTTCTTATATTCACAAGTTCTGCATCAAATTAAATTGTTATCGGAAGAAAATAATATCGATCTATTGATTCGCAATATCAAATAAAGATCTTTTGGATAATGACATAAAATGAGTCGATTTTAGACTAAAAAACTAAATATTAACGTTAAGTATATTCTTATTCCACGTGAATACACACTTTCTAAAAATATAAATTTAGCGTTACTCGAGAAAATTGAGACTTCTTGAACTTTTTATAAGGCAAATAATAGAATTCAGCCCCGAGTTACCCTAAAATCTACTTTATTTTTAAACAGCTTATATATAGACCATCCAATCATCATCTACTTTATATTACCTAAAATAGGTATTAAATTATGTATTAAATATTTCATAAAAAAAAATTTTTTTTTTCACATTTGTTTCGGCTTTTTTTAAGAATATTTTCAAAATTTCAAATTTAAATTTTTCAGTTTTTATTAAGTATTTGATACAAAAGTGTCATGGCGGAAGCTTTCATAGGGTTGAATGTGCACGTTGAACTTACGAATGGCTCGTCATTAGAGGGAACTGTGTCGCATATCGATTCTCACACGCAACTTTTGACTCTAAAAAAAGGTTGGTATTCTTTGAATTCATTGTGAATAATTTCAATACTTTATTATTTTTATAATCATTAAACTGACTGTATTTTTATTGAAATAATAGTAAATATTAACGAAAATGGTCGTTTTCAACAGCTGTCAATATACGGTGTAGCAGGCACAGATATAAAAGATCTTACAATTATTGCATCGACTTCAACAGTCAATATTCAACAACAACGTCATGTACAATCTAGTGTAAATACGTTCGAAAATGGAAAGCCACCTTCAATAAGTACTACGCCTGCTCCAAATAATGTAGTCAGTCAAGTATTGGCAATACAAACATCGTCGACAATGTCGCCTTTTTCAGATCCTGCGATTATTTCGGTTGGTTTTTCTGAACAATTTTATTATTACCTAGTTTCACAAAAATCTAAGTTTTCTTTGAAAATAATCGATAGTATTCTCAAGTACCTACTACATTTCAACAATCGAATCCTTTGTCTAGTCCATATGGCATATCAAGGTAAATTTATTTCTTAGTCCTTATGATAATTATATTAGTAGTATTTTGTTATTTACTTATTGTATCTAAATACCATTTAGGGCTCCCTCACCGTATGTTGTATGTATCTCAAATTTAGATATCTGGAACAGTGAAGATTGCGATAATGATATCTATGTTTGAAATTTAATGTTAACATATAAAGTCATTGTATAATAATGATGTCTATCTAGTAATTCCTTGGTGTTTATCCTTGATTGATTGCTGGTCTGACATTTATTGTCCTTCCACCTTTTGGCGTAATATCCTTAGAATCTTCAACAGCAACACATCTTATCTGGCGTTCAGATTCCGACGAAGATCTCCCAAACAGCTTCAACCGGTGATAGTGATTCTAAGGGTGATGAAGAGGAGACAAACGGTTACGGAGAAAATTCGAAGCATACGGTTAACGGGAATCATATTCATGGCGATTCTAGTGGTATCGAATCTGATGCTGCGGTATATAATTATAAGAAGCATTCAAGAAGGAAAAAGGTACTTAACTTAAATTACTAAATATATAGAGATGGTAATGGTCAAAACTATTTCTAACATGTACTCTTCGTTTAAGAACCCAAATTCAAACGGACAATATCAAGATTCCAGAGCCCCTCTTTCTCCTGGTATGATGTTTGTAAAATTTGAATTTCTCTTGACACCTCGATTCCTCATTTTATTTTCTTCATTCAGCAAGGAGATCTCGACGAGGACGTCGTCAAACACATGAATGGGCAGGTGGAGATGTTAATGAATTTAAATCTGAAGAATTTGATTTTCAAGGCAATTTGGATCTATTCGATAAAGAAAAGGTTTTTGCAGAAATCAGAGTAAGAAAATTTTTGCACACGTTACAGATATCCATCCATATTTGAATAAAATTCATCAATTATTTAATTGTTTAGGAATTGGATTCAACAGCACCAGAGAGTCTTCTTGTTAATATAAATCGTAATCCCAATTATCGTGTTAATCACCGTAATGGAAATCAATCGAGTCAACATTCTCAATCTAAATTGGCATCTCATGAGAATGTACTTGAAGTTTCAACTCGTAAATCCAAGTTTTACCATACTGATGAAGAAGATGAAATGGGTAACGATGGAGAAGTTGACTCGGATAGTTCATGGAAAAAGAAGAAAAATGCGAATGGAGCTGGAGACCATAAAAAGGTTAAAATAAGAACGTTAACTGGTGTTTCATGTCCAACGGTTCTACCTTCACAAATGATTGAAGTTGAACAAATTGCAGGTAATTATTTGTTTATTTATTATTTTATGCATTTAAAAATTCACAAGGTAGTTTACAAATGATATTAAAAACAATTTTCAACAATAAAGCATTGGAAACTGGTCCAAATGATGATCAAATGATCGAAAATGGCGGCAGAGGTGCTTCTATGATGTGCCTACAAGCACTTGGTATGTTTTTTTTTTGATTTAAAATCATTACCCTTACGAAATACTAATTACTTTAAAAAAAAATACAAGGCGGTTCGCGACGTATACAGCCAAACAATCATAATGCAGCTCCACAAGTTGTGATACTTGCTGGAAATAATAAAACTGGTGCTTATGGACTTGCTACTGCGCGACATCTTGCAAATCATGGATGTTATGTTATTGTGTGCGTTGTTGGTAAAGAAAGGGAATTACATAAGGTACATAATAATATATCAATGACATATGTATAAAATATATGAGTAATTTTAAATTGTGGATATTAAATCGTATTTGATTTAGAATGTTACGTTTCAACAAAAAATTTTACTTCCAACTGGCGGTAAAATTATAAAAACTGTTAAAGGTACATTTTAAGTAATGAATACAACTTTTTTATTGTATATCTTACCTTAACTTATTTAACTCACATTATTGTTATTATTTCGCAAGAACTTCCACAACAATTTACCAACCCCGTTGATCTCATTGTTGATGCCTTACTTGGATATCAATTTACTCTACGAGATATTGTGGATGAAAATGATAAACATTTAATATGCGATTTAATGGATTGGGCTAATAATAATAAAGCACCTGTGTTAAGTTTAGATATGCCTAGTGGTGTGAATGGAAGTTCAGGTGAGGCCAATTATTATTCAAATTTGATGTTATCTTTAGATTTATATTTTGTCTGAAATGTTCATTTAATGAATCTCAAAGGTAACCCTGTTAATTCTGCGCATTATATCCATCCAAAATGGACTCTCTGCCTTGGAGCTCCCAAAAGTGGTTGTAAATCACGCTCAGTTACTGGTGAGCTGTTCTTAGCCGACATAGGCATTCCAAGGGCTTGTTGGAAAAGGATCGGCGTAAAGGAATGGGGAATGCCCTGGGGTAGTGAATATTTAATTGGATTGGAGTACTATGTAATGAAACACGCCAAAGAAACGTGAGTTTTCCTCTATATATTTATAATGGTTAATGTGTTTTCACGTATAATTATGATCCTGTGACATTTCTTCAACCCGTTAAAAAAATTCTTCATTTATCCCTTTTTTTTATCCATTCTATTTCGCATTCAAGCGATAATAATTTTGCTGTTTACAATTTTATCTTTAATCCCTACTTAAAACATTTTGTTAATTTACTTTTCTTTGTTTTCCTGTAAAATGCTTTATTTTTTATATACAGTTCAATTTAGAAAAATGGATGAGTTGAAGTTAATAAAATGGGAAGGGATTAAAAATAAAGAAAAACTAAAGAATCATTAAAAAAACATCCTTTACGGTTTGATCATTAAGCTTATTGTACCTTATTTTTCACTTTAAAAAAGAAAATTTCAATTCATACAGAACAGATTCAACAATCAATGAAAGGCAAAAAAATAATTGTAATCATCTTGTTTAGAAATATTTTAAACGGGGAAAATCAAGAATTCATATTTAATTAACTTTGAAACCAAAATTTTTGTTAATTTATTGAACAGTACTATATATAATAAAAAATAAATAATATATACAAGTACTTTGTTAAACTTTAATAAAAATAATCTACTAATTAATATTAATTTATATTTTAAAGAAGAAAAATTTTTTTTTAAATTATACAAATTTGTTTAAATCCGCTAAGGTTTCAATAACGGCAGGTGTTTTGATCGTTTTTCCATTCAATCCCTCCAGTCCTTCACCAGCATAAGAGACCAAGGGTGAAATCTCAAAGATAAGTTGATCATTGTCACCGGGTAAAACCTTACCACCGGCCTTTTCAACGAACTTAACATGTTGGTTTATAATATCTTTCATACTAGTATCTGGATCATCTACTCCAGTTCCTGGTGCATTTTTAAGTGGTGAAAATTCATCTTTTCTATCAACCTCTAAAACGGCCATACGTTCAGTGAATGGAAAAACATCAAAGACAAATAGTTCGAGTTTCATTCCATTTGGTTTTAAAGGCGAAATGAATTCACCAGATGTAATATCAGTATGTTTAATTTTCTTTTTAGCTATATGATACTCAAGTTCATTTTCAAAAGATTCTACGCGATCGAGGAAATCAACTGTATAGAAATGATTGGCTATGTTACCAGCACCTAAGGCAAGTTGACCATTAGGTTTTGTTTTCGCTGCAATGGATGGATCAATTTCACTATACTCCACCACATTGAATTTGCCATTACGAAGTGCAATAACACCGACAGGTTCATCGGGTGAAGCCTTACGAACTACTTTAGCACCACAATCCGCGTTCTTAGAAACGCAATAACCAATGAATACAGGATCCGCAACACGTACAAGACAATTATCAACACAATATGCATGAGCATAAGAAATCTTACGCGATTTTAACGAATCAAGAATTTTTTCATTCCTTAAGGCTGCATAAATTCCTCCATTACCATCAGGAGCGATAGCAAGCTTTTAAAATAAATTATTGTAAATAATGGAACGAAATAGATGTATTTATTATAATCATCAAAATATTTTACCGTAGATTTGTTTTCCAAAAAGACCTTGCCGTCGTTAGTCAATGCGGGAAGCGTACCTAATCGAAAAATCAAGTTTTGAACGTGTTTTTAAGATTATTTATACGGGGTATCCGAACACCTTTTAAACGTTTTAAAGCATATACAGTATATATTCTACTTTGATGGATTTTGTAAATTTATGCTTTGATTTTATGATGAGCGAAAAAAAAGGTGTTTGATAAATATATATATATATATATTTAAAAAACTTTATATTTACCTTGTTCAAAAAAGATAACATTCTCTTCTTTTAATCCAAAGTAATGATGTTTTTTGAAATATGCTTCGGTGGCTGCTCTAGTCGGACCACTAGTCATCACGTACCACGGGATAATGACTTCAGTTTTACCAGATTTTTCCTGAGCAATATTTTGTAATCTCAGAATACGTTCCGCTTGAAGCTGAAATAAAGACTTATGAGATGGTAAGCCTATATCATAGCAACCCTTCGGAGCCGAAGAACCAAGTCTTGTTCCTTGACCTCCAGCCATCAAAATGACTGCAACTTTATTTTGAGCAATCAAATCCAAACCCAAATTTAACCAATCTCTAATTTTTGATTCATCACCATCTAAAGTAGAATCAAATACATCATCGGGTAAATGTTCCAATTTTTGCTGTTCAGCATCAGAAACTATGTCTAAACACAAAGTCGATTTCTTGAAGATTCGGTTGACGCGTTCAATATCGAGTTTTGAAAGTTGATTAAAAAGTGAAGTCTGTTCTTCTGGGCTGAGATCGTCGTAGAAAGTAAAAAGGTGTTCTTGACCAGCTGCAGCATATTTTGCTTTTAAAGATTCGACTTCAGACATCTTCAAATTTGATGAGATTAAGTTTGAAAGTTAGGTTAAGAAAATTATGTGCCTTCTGTATCCAATTTAAATATGCTCGCAGCTCACGTGAATTGAAAATTTTAAAACGCGCAAAAATTTTTTGGTTTATTGGTGGAATATCATTTAATTTCGGGTTCCATCTTAATTTTTGTGATTGGTTAAAAAATTTTTTATCACCAAAAACAATGCACAAATTGATGTATTTTATACATAGTTAAATTAGTATGTGCATATGTCTATTAGGGTATTGTTTTTGTACCCCTTAATTTTATTATTTTTAAATAAATTTAATCATATGGATTAAATAATGGTGACTAATGTTAACATAATTCCAGCCGAAAATAGGAACTATTACAACGTTTTTAATATTGATATTATTGTTTTAATAATAATATTGTTAATAATATGCTATTATTAATAAAAAAAAAAATGTGTTATAAATTCTATTTAAATGTTTTTATTATAAATTTTATTTGAATATTTTTGTATCTTAAAATATTTTATCTTCTGAAAGTTCAATTTAACTATGATAATAATCAATGATGATTATGAAAATACTAATAACAATCATAAAAATAAGATCAATGACTTCAATAATGAATATGAAAATATAAATCTGAAACAAAATGATATTTGTAATATTTTGCAGAACTTGGAATAGAAGAATATGATAAAACAAAAGATATTATTCGTCAAAATATTCAAGAATTATGGGAATTTAGTAAATAAAAGAATGTATTCAAATAAAAGAATAAAAAAAGCAAACATCAGTAGATGCAATATTTTTGCATAGAATTGGAGGTAAATGTAATATTTTTAAAATTTGTTTACAATTTGATATTGTGAAAGGTACTGTAATTTTATATATAAAAAAAGTAATTAAAGCAATAATATCAAAAAAATCATTATTTATTTAATAATCAAAAGGAGAGTAGCATAAATTAGTTTATAAAGAATTTCAATTAATTTGTGAATAAAATAAGGGACAAAATCCAAAAAAACAATTAATAAATAACCAAAATTATATTAAAATATAGTTAAGAGGTATGACAAAATCCTAAAATCTGAAATTAACTAAAACTATATTAAAAACATAGTAAGGGATATGACAAAATTATTTTGAGAAAGTTTCAGGTGACATTTATATCGGTGGATTTAAAAAGTAATTAGTGTTATTAGTAGAACTCATTTAAATAAACCTTCTAAATTCTCCTAAATCATATTTAATCAAAAAAAATGTTATTTTATTAAATGGGAGGCGGTCAGTAGAAAGGGGGGAAATCCAAAATTTTTGTTAATTTTAATTATTAAGCTAATTTTGTGCACATGACCGAGATCAGCCAACTGGTCCAATAATATAAATTTTGACCAAAATTTGGATTTCCTCCTTTTCTACTAATTGTCTCCCAAATGTTAAGGAATAGTAGATTAGAATACTGACATTAGGGTTGGTAAAAGTCCTAACAAGTCCTAATTGGTCTTAAAGAATTTAAAGATAATTTTAATATATTTACTATTAATTAAATTTTTTAATAATAAATTAATCTTTTTAATAATTATTATTGTTATATATCAATAATTTTATTAATTTAAAACAAAAAAATTCTTTAAAAATAATAAATATACTTAATTTAAGATCTGGTCCTAGGATCTAGATCCTAGGTCTAAAATTTTAAAAAGAAATTTAAACTTATTTTAATAAGTTGCTTTAATTAAAAAATTGATAATATTTAAAAAAATTTAATCTTTAAAACTAATAATTTTTTTAAAATTAATCAGAACTAATTAGGACCAATTAGGATTTTTAGCAACCTTAACTAACATATATTAGCTAATATAATTTTAATATAAGCACATACCCCCCACCCTCAGGTAAGATATCACGTGCTATTGATCATTTGCTTTTTTTAGATTCTTAAGTTTTGAAGTTGAATAAATCAAAGAAACTAAAAAAAAAATTATAAAATATTTCGATTTGTAATTTTTAAATTGAATTTTTTATTCTAAATAAAACATTTAAAATGCTCAACAGCTTATTTTATAAATATGAAATAAATTTTTTATTAAATAAGATGATTATGTTTAATCATATCCCATAGTTACGATTGCTATAGAGGGTTGTGAAAGACTTTATGTTAAATATACTAAGCTACCCTTATCATATGATTTATAAGTTATGTGTAATCTAAGATCTCTTACACCTCCCTATCCTCTAAAATATTAGCTAATATATGTCATCATTTTTATCATAAAAATTTTATTAGCTATGATATAGGTTGATCAGGATTAGTATATAATGCAAAAGATTATAAAAATTCAAGTTTTTATAAATAAAAAAAAGAATTAATTATTAATGATAATTATTTACTTGAAGATTCTATATATCTAATTTCAACATTTTTAATAATTTCTTTTCATTTATCAGCAAATCAACAACAAAAAAATTTAATTTAATATACAGTGGCTTCCAAAAGAAACGCAAGTGGCATTGCTTGCCTTTAAATGCCTGTAACTCACTGTGCACGAATGC